CACACTGAGCCTGGTTTATCACACACTGAGCCTGGTTTATCACACACTGAGCCTGGCTTATCACATTGAGCCTGGTTTATCACATTGAGCCTGGTTTATCACACTGAGCCTGGCTTATCAAACTTAACCTGATTCCTTAACCCAACTTCAATTCCTCAAGCTGAACCTGGTTTCTCAAACTAACCTGTTGTTTTTAACCTAAGCCTGCTTTCTCAAATTAAACCTGGTTGTTTTTAACCTAAACCTGTTGTTTTTAACCTAAACATTTTTCTTTAACCTAAACCTGGTTTCTCAAATTAACCCTGGTTGTTTTTAACCTAAACCTGGTTGTTTTTAACCTGAACCTGTTGTTTTTAACCTAAACCTGGTTGTTTTAAACCTGAACCTGTTGGTTTTAACCTAAAACTGGTTTCTCAAACTAAACCTGTTTGTTTTTTAACCTAAACCTGGTTTATCAAATTAAACCTGTTTTTTTTTAACGTCAACCTGCTTTCTCAAATTAAACCTGGTTGTTTTTAACCTAAACCTTTTTCTTTAACCTAAACCTGGTTGTTTTTAACCTAAACCTGGTTGTTTTTAACCTCAACCTGGTTGTTTTTAACCTAAATCTGTTGTTTTTAACCTAAACCTGCTTTCTCAAATTAAACCTGGTTGTTTTTAACCTAAACCTGGTTGTTTTTAACCTAAACCTGTTGTTTTTAACCTAAACCTTTTTCTTTAACCTAAACCTGGTTTCTCAAATTAACCCTGGTTGTTTTTAACCTAAACCTGGTTGTTTTTAACCTAAACCTGGTTGTTTTTAACCTCAACCTGGTTTCTCAAGTTAAAGCACGGAACTCCCAGGACTTAATCCTGAATTTTGTTGTTGTGCTTTAACCCCTCAGGCCCCCCAGCCTGGACATCAAACACGTGATGGGATTATCTGACTTGAGGAAAAAACTGCCAGAAGCTGCATTTGGGAAAAAAAATTACACCGGGAACGAAGGTGAGCAGGAAATCTTGGGAATCATCCTCATTCCCAGTGCTCCCAGCAGTTCAGAATCCATGGGAAATCACCCTCCCAAAATCCTAAATCCTTTCTTTTTTCCCCCAGTCTGCTTTCAGGGGGTTTACTCCAGTCTCTACGAGGTGGAAATATCCAAGAAGGATCAATCCCGAATGGATCAGCTGGTGGAAAATCTGGTGGAGAAGGACTTGGTGAGTGTTTTTCTGGGAGAAAAATCCCATTTTTGGTGTCGTTACCCACAGCCCATGCAGCGTGGAGTTAATTGATTTCCCCGCTTTAAAGGTTCTTTTCCTGCTTTGTTGCTCTCCAGCATTTTATTTTTTTGTTCCCAGGAGAGGG